CTCTCTCTCTCTCTCTCTCTCTCTCTCTCTCTCTCTCTCTCACACACACACACACACACACACACACACACACACACACACACACACACACACACACACACACACAGATTTCTTTCAATCGCTTCACCTAGGGACGCTCAGAACGGCACATACGCGAGCGAGAGTACACGGCGGCAAACGTCGGCGCTGGTGTTCCTCGCTATCGTCCACAAGATGTTTACCCCAGAGAGCACAGCGAGGCATATTACACCTTTGATCTCAGCTGAAGTTAGGCTTTCCTCGTGAAACTTCAAGATATTTCCGCAAGGCAGTGTAAGCTATAGTCCTCTAGCAAGTCTGCACCCGTTCCTGTCATTTCAGAGACATAGTACACCTTTGATCTCAGCTTAAGTTAGGCTTTCCTTGCGAGGATGTTTCTGCAAGGCAGTGCAAGCTATGGTCCTCTAGCAAGGCTGCACCCGTTCCTGTCATTTAAGAGAGCACGCACGCGATATACAGCGTCGCTGCACTACTCTCCAGATGCACAAACGACAAAAAATATGGCGATGCATTTTGCCATGATCTAGGGGAGGATTCATTTTTCGTTTTGCACATGTCGAGAGTAGTGCAGCGAGGCCCTTAGCAATACTCTGATTGCATCTGACTGATTGCATCTGACAACTCCACAAGCACAAGGATAAATGAGCGGATGATTGAAACAAACATCCGGTAACCGATTCTAAATTCTAATAAGCTAATAGCTCAGAAGAGTCCTTCGGGATGATTAGCATGGCCCCTGCGCACTCAAGGATGACACGCATAAATCGAGAAATGGTCTAATAGCTCAGAGGAGTTTGAACCAAAGGCTAGCATACTCATTTCAGGGCGTGTTGGACTGAATCTGGCAGTAAATAAATTAAATGCAGTCAGCTACATCCAGGCGAGTCACAGCAGCATGAGAATGCGGTCTGCAGCGGTTATATTTGCGCAAACCGGGAAAAATTAAAATGTCAGAGTTTGTCGGTCCAAGGTAGGTATGTAGCAAGAGGTGATTTTTTGTTTTGTTTTGTGGAGAGCAAGAGGTGAAATTGATGAGACTAAAATAAATAAATAAATAAATAAATAAATAAATATTAAAAAAAAAAAATTGATGAGACTCAAGAGAGAAGAATATACTTGAGCTTTTTCAAATTAAAAAAGCAAAAGAAGAAGAAGAAAAAAAAAAGGAAGACCCGTCATGACCTCAGTTCAAGAAGAAGAAGGAAAAAAAAAAGGAAGACCCGTCATGACCTCAGTTCTCAGCAAGGAGAACGCAGTAGTCAAGGCTCTTGTGACTATGTCCGTTCAGGCTCTGGGCGTACTGACACCCAGCACTAAGAATGTCGAATTTCTTCCGTGCAGAGATGCTAGAATTACTACAAGTACTTTTTATTTATTATAAAAGTTGGACCGTTTCTCGATTTATGCCTGTCATCCTTGCGCAGGGGCCATGCTAATAATCTTCTTTCTCTGTGTCGTTCCAATTTTAACGGATGTCCCGAAGGACAGCATTTTTTATTTGGAAAGGACGCTGGACCTGGTTTCCAGCCAGTTTTCTATAAATAGAGTGTATTTTACCACCTTCCTGGGAAGATGCACTCGTTTTGCCCTGTGGTGTATCTGGCCGCATTTGAGGCCGGACCTGTGTGCATCTGGCTGCAATTCCGTCCAGAAGTAAGTAAAAAAGTGCTAGTGTGAGGGCGTACTCACATTGCCTCTATCCTAACCTCTATCCTAAATGCACCTGAGGGCTTGTATGCATCTGGCCGCAATTCCGTCCGGAAATAAGGGAAAAGGTGCTAGTGTGAGCATGCCTTTAGTATGCTCTCACACTAAACATACGCCCATCACGGCTACCGGTTTTGTCCGGTCGCCTACCTGCAGCCGCCGTGGTTGTGTTTCGTAGGTTTACTCCTTGCACGAAGGTGTAGGCTATGTCCTACCTCGTAGCAACTGTAGACCAGCCTTCATCTCTACCATGTTCACAAGGGCAATTGCCCAACAAACCATCACAGCTATTGACAACCATATCCGGGGATGCCTATTCAACATCAGGCGGCCTTGGTAAGGAAGACCAGTCGAGCTATATCATCGCACAACCATGGAAATTGACAGGAGCCCAACTACCAAACTGGCAGAAGACCATGCCGCCCATCCTCATATGGGGGACGTGGGCATGGTAGGCGCGGAAGAGGTGGTAACTACCCCAGGCCAGCCAAGGCTGTGACGCCCAACCTCACGCCCAGCGCGACTTCCTGATCAGAGTGGGATGGGGGCCCGGAAGTGCGAAAAAGGGGTGTGCCAAGGATTTTAGGAAAGTGGGGGTGGAGTCCCAGGTCGGAACTGAGATCTCCTGTGGCAAATTTCGGAGGAAAAAGCGCAAGAGGGTATATGCAGGTCGTACTTGGCGTTTTAATCCTTATAAGAAGGAAGGTGGACCACCTCTCGTGGTTTGTGCACAGTGGGAAACCCGCAGATGTCGTGCAACATAAGGCAGATGGCATGTGCAGTGCATCCCAAACTAAAGGTCCCGGGGTACTTCTTCTACAATCCCAGCACCGACAGATCTAAACACTCTTGCATTCTTGAACAAAATCCCAACAACATTGCCCCTGCCAACGGACTCAAATTTTGTCAGCTTAAAAACCCGAAAACGGGAATCACCATCGCCTCTGGTTCCGCCTTCGTGGTTGGTCGCGCGGTTCGGCCATTTGTCGGCGCCGCTTGTAACAGGCTTCGGAATCCGACGGGGCAGATCGTAAGCGGAGGCTGCGCAATTGCTGCTCAGCTTCGGTTCGAGTCTGTCGGATAGCTCCCGAAGCCCGGCGTGTCCGATACTGCTGGCAACCCTCTCACGGTGGGCTGGGCCAATAACGAGCTATGAAGTTCCACGGTACCACTGTGAGTTGGTGATATGGAAGGAGGAGATGGAAGGGGGGGAAGTTGGTAGTAATAACGACGAGACCCGGGGGTATGTAGTATTGAGTATTGTCCGTATCCAGGTAGTCTGGGCCCCTAGGGTCGCTGGTTATAACCCAGTGGAAATCCCCCACGCGCAGTTGGTCGTTCTCCGTCAAACAGGGGAATTCCGGGTTTCTCAAGTTTCCCCGTAGTCTAAGTTGTGCGTCTTCCTAATACTTGCGATATTCTGGGTCCCTCGGGCTCTTGATTGGTCACCCAAGAGGGAGATCCCGCGGCCATGTCCGTTTAGTAGGCTGAATCCCCCGCATCCTTATACGAGGTTAAGGCTGACTCACGCGGACGAGCGCTTACGTGAGAGATGGCGGATCGGCTAAGTGTGTCGATCGCGTTGGCATACATGCAATTGTCCTATTCATGCTACGAGCTGGCGGGGGGATGGGGGGGGGGTGAGATTTGGTCATTACATGCCATACGTGCGACGAGAGGAGGGGATGAAGCTTTCGGGAGTTTAACGATCAAACCCAAACATCCATAACGAGCACTCTCAATTAGATCTGAGCGTATAGCTCACGCAAGTGAATAATAGACAGAGACAAAGCAGGCATCACAAAATAAGATTGAAAATCCGCAAGGATCACTAATTAGAAGGGAATTCACATTCATTTCATGCGAACATACGGAGTAAAAACAACAAGGAAAATCCGAGGCGATTTACAAAGAGAAGTTCAAAAAAAGGGTCGTGATAAAATCGGCCATATCAAAATCAAAAATTATACAGACGAACAAAGGAAAGAACCTCATCCCAGGCCCACAACTGTTCTCCCTCTCTCTCTCTCTCTCTCTCTCTCTCTCTCTCTCTCTCTCTCTCTC